AATTCTTCATTCTGGACGCGGCGGCATATGACCTTTTCTGCTTCAGTAACTTCGAAGGGTTTCAATTGCCCTATACGACGGTGTAGATTTCTGGCATTGTATGTAAATCTCAGTACCCAACCCATAACTCTGAGTACCTTCAAATAAGATGAAAAGTTATTTAAGTTCAAGATATACTCATCTTTTGGCAACACGAGCAGTACGACGTTCTTTTTCTCTTCAGCGGCGCATTCACTGGACTTAAAATCAGCTGATTCTGGCGGCCATTCTTCTTCCCCGAATTGCAAAAAATCTGGACCTTTTAACCATCTACAATTCGGATCGAACTCTGAAACGGGTTTACCTCGCGTGGCATCATCAGCCACAATAAGTGACGTTGGTAACCACCTCCACTGAGACGGTCCGGTTGATGCGATGATCTCTGAAATCCTGCTGGCGACAAATTGCTTGTACTCCCGCGTGGTGGACCTAATCCACAACAGGACTGTCTTTGAGTCGGTCCAAAAGACGACTCGATCAATAATGAAATCATGGAATTCTTGTATTGATCTGGACAAGCGACATTCTAAGATAGCTGCCTGCAGCTCCAAACGAAGCACCGTCATGCCCTTCAACGGGGCGCATCGTGACTTAGCTGCGACAACATAGACGGCACTACCCTTGCATATGCACAGATAGGCAACAGCTGCATAGGCACTGGAACTGGCGTCGACGAAAACATGTAACTGGATCTCATCAGCTGACATTAGTAACGTGGAGTAACACCTTGGAACGGAAAATAATGACACATTCTGGAAACTTTCCCACCACGAAGTCCACCTGAGGTGGCAATGGCTCTTCCCACTCCGTTTGACGTCTCCAGAGTGATTGTAGTAAGAGCTTCATATAAATTGTGACATTGGCTAGAAACCCAAATGGGTAGTAAATCGCCATTATGATACCCAAAAGTTCACGCTTAGTTGGCGAGCGTTTACAGCTCAAAACATCTGGAACAATTTTGTGAAACTTGATGTGAAATTCAAAGGAATCATTGAGTGTGTTCCAAAACATACCCAAGACCTTATCGACTGTAGGATTATGCTCCATATTCACGGCAGTCATCGTCGTTTCTTCTTCGCCACATAACATGGCTTGAAGTGGTTTGTCGTTCGACAAAAAGTTTCTTAATTTGAAACCTGCGGCTAAATTTATGGCGATGGCTTCTTTTGCGACTTGCTCAGCTTCAGTTGAATCGTTAAAGCTAATTACCAAATCGTCGACATACATATTGTTGATTACGGCTGAAGCTCCTTGTGGCATAGTAGACTCAAACTTGGTAGCGTTGACATTTTTAATATACTCCGCACAGCATGGCGAACAAATTGCTCCGAAAATCATCGAAGTCATGATATAAGTTTGAATCGGCTTAGTCGGATCTCCGTCACGCCACAAAAAGCGCTGTGAATTTTGATCGTCATCTCTTATTTTTACCTGTGAAAACATCTCTTGGATGTCAGCTGCGACTGCCAAAACACCCTGGCGGAATTTGTGTATAATGGCGATAAGTGACTTCGCATGGACAGGACCCTTTAATAAAACCGAATTTAAAGATACATTGGATGTGGCAGCGGCGGCGCCGAAAACTGTTCGCAGCTTATTGGGTTTGTGAGGATTGACCACCCCAAAATGGGGCAAATACCAGGTAGTAGGGCTTGACTTCAATGCTTCATCCGGTGACAACAACCGGGCATAACCCTTACTGATGTATTTCTCGATCTCGTATCTATAATTAGTGGCAAAACTGACATCCCTGAGCATTCGCGTCTCACGATTATTTAAACGGTGATAAGCCATATCGTAACTTGGTGGAAGGGTCAATGCATCACTGCGCCATAACAAACCCACTTCGTATTTTTCACCTATTTCTTTTATAGTGTCTTGTAAAATAGTCCTGGCCCGGCGGTCATCATCTGACTCCAGCACGACGTTTGTGCTACGTACCCCAAAGCTTTCTATTGAGTAATGCTATTGCACTAATTTATGTAACTCTTGAAGCGACTGCGACTCACGAACATGCAACACGCGCGGTTGCATAGCTTGACTCTGCTTGAGTGGCCCGTACACCACCCACCCCAATTGTGTAGCCATTGGCTTGTTCGGCCCAGCATCGACCGTCCTGTTGGCGATTCCAAGGTAACTGTTGTCGAGACCTAATAACACTGATGGCTTAGCATTTGTATAGCTTTCTATCGGCAATGACTGCAAATGTGAAAACTGGTGTTAATCAAAGGATTGGCTTGGCAAATTCAGCGACTTGACGGTGTGTACATTTTTCAGATAAAACTCAGCAGTACTACCCTTAATAGCGACAGAAACTTTCCTCGAATTTTCTTTAACTTGGCTTTCGCCATACCACTGCAACGTTAGTGGTATGCTATTACCACGAAGATCCAACTTTTCGGCGACGTTTTCTTCTAAAAGAGTAACTGACGACCCCTCGTCAAACATAGATAAAATTATGGGAAAAATTTTAAAAAGGCTCGATTGCTTGTCAGATAAACAATTCAAAATGCGCTCGGCTTCTTCGCTAGCTGCTGAAGAGGACAGATATGTACTTTGGTGCAACAACTCGTGATGCATTCGCTTACAATTATTCACTGTGCACTCTTTTCGTTGACGACAATTGCTCAGACTATGGCCTTTTCGAAGGCAACCAAAACATAGTTGATTGTTTTTGACAAAACTCCTTTTGGTTGGGAGATCACACGAGAAAAACTGACGACAGTCAACCAATTTGTGCGATTGTCCACATTTCAAACACACAACCTTTATTTCAGGCTGTACTTCGTTGTTGTACAGGACATGACGTGCAGAATTTGCACTAGAACTTGTCTGACGCGTAACGCTTCTCGGCTGTGTGACGTTGGCTTGGATAGAACGGAGTGATACGTCTGACACCTCCGGCAACAATGAGACGAACTTTGCAATTTCACTAAGCCATTCTGCAAAATTTTCTACCGTAGGAAAAGGCACTATACCTGCTGCACGCTGACTCCATTCATATTGTTTCGATGGAGGCAACTTTCCAACCAAACACTCAAGCAATGTGGGATTCATAAGGTGATGAGCACACCTGGCGGATTTAAAAAAAGCGACAATATTTCTAACACGGTTAGAAAAATCTAAAATCTGGTCTAAATGACTCTCACTTATCGACGGAAACTTCTGAAATTTTTGCAGTTGGTCTTTAATTAGCAATTGGGGGCGACCGAAATTAAATTCCAACTCTTGAATAACCCTAGGTACATCTTCGGGGTAGATTAATAGCGACGTTACTGCTCTTTTCGCAGCACCCTGTAAGGATTTATGAAGACGCATCAGATTTTGCCTGTTGCTGTATTGGAACTCATTAGTGGTATCATTATAATTCGCTCAGAACAATGGCCAATCTTCCGAATTGCCATCAAAATTTGGCAATGGAAAGAGCTTGGCGGCAGAATTATCCATACATGTTAAGGCGGCGGTATTCATTGTTGGCGTTTGTACTATACATGGTGGCAAATGCGTTGACAAAAACGGCTGTTGTGTTTGTGCTTGCTGCTGTGTGTGTACTTGCAACGTCGACGACTGCGCCTGCGCTGGCGTTCGTAGTGGCGACTGAACGTTGTCGGTACCCTGCAGGAAGTTGAATTAGTTTGAAAGTAATTTATAAACTACTTTATTTTCAATGATAACTAATTGAAATTCTCACTATTTTACCTGCAACCAACTCATTTATTTAACATGGCGATGTCCTAGGAAGCAGTCAATTGCCTTTTCCTGCATGTATTTTCAACTACTTTAAAATAAATTTGGCTTAAACAAGTTCAAAGTCAGTATGTTTCGTTCGAATGCGCTTTCGTTCTGCACTTCACAGATGCTTTTTCATAACTAAGAAAAGCCGAAATTTTAAATTAAATGAGATTTTGGCTGCGACCAATTGTAGCAAACATCTTTGCACGCTCAGCTACAGCCAGACATGTAAATGTGCTTTCAATTGTTCAGTTTGAATTGTATGCAAGCAGCATTTAATTTCAACTACTTTAAAATGAATTTGGTTTACACAACTTCAAAGTCAGTGTGTTTCTTTTGAATACGCNGTGTTTCTTTTAAATACGCTTGCGTTCTGGACTTCACAGAGGCTTTTTCATTCTTCCAAGACACAAATTGTTTTTTTTGAGCAAAAAGAGTATAAAAATTCGAAACACTTACCCATAGCATTTGTTTTAAAGTAGTATTTCAACTAGTTGATAAAAAAAAAAAAACTACTTGTTTCCGTCAGGGTATGTACAGCGTTGGCAGAGCTGCCTCCGACTCCATGCCTACTACGATATGCGTCCCTGCGTAGCTCTTCCACACACTCTGGAAGCGATGTAATACTGGACACCAATAATGCGATTTGGTCGGCTGAAATGGCCACTGGATTACTTCCAGAGGCACCTTGTTGTTCTTCTAAATCATCCATATCGTTGGTTGTGGAATCGTATTCCGAGTGATCACTGATAGACTCCGAACTGTTGGCTGCTTTCCTCGCACGGGCTCGTGTAATCATTGAAATATCCCCGCGAATGTGAGAAAACAAATTTTTTAAACAAATGTAGACGGCAAAACTTCCAGAGAATAAAAGAAAAAAATAGAACTTAGGGATTGATGTTAATAACTCTTTATCTCGCTTTATACGGCGCAGTTAAAAAATTTGATGTTTTCTCAGCGTCTGTAATTTCGTGAATAATCGAATTCATAGAACTCATCTTCGAAACAATCAACTTCAACGTTCGAAATTAAAACCTAAACGCTTTGCGCAGTATGTATGTATACATGTTGTGTACATGTGTATATGTTACAAATTGAGCGAGTTGAGAAGATTCGAACATTAAATGTGAGAAAGAGAGTAAAGAACATATGTAGAAAAGATAAATGGTACAGAGTTGCATTCTTACAACTAGAAATTATTAGTGGGTGTATTCACGCGCTTATATCGTAAAATAGGAATTTGCAATTGACGGTATTCACGCTGTTGCATTAACACTATTAATCACTTTATTAAATGAATTACAAATAGAGTAAATTCATCATTAGATGACTGAAAGCAAGTACTGGTCTCTTAAACCACTTAATAGTAAATTAGCACTTACTTCTACTGAAAAAATTAGTTAAAAGTATAACATTAGTATGTCAAACTAAAATTATTAAAATATTTAATATTTTTTAGTTCCACAAATAGCCCCTATTGGTTGATTAAGCTTATTTATTATTTATTCGATTACTTTTATTTTATTTAGAATAATAAATTACTATTCAATAATTCCTAAATCTCCTAAATCACAGATTTCACAAAAATCAATTAAATCAGTAAATTGAAAATGATAACTAATTTATTTTCAGTATTTGACCCTTCATCAAGAATTTTTAATTTATCATTAAATTGAATAAGAACATTTTTAGGATTATTAATATTTCCATCAGTATATTGACTTATACCCTCGCGTTATCATGTATTCTGAGATTCAATTTTATTAACACTACATAAAGAATTCAAAACATTACTAAGACCATCAGGTCATTGAGGATCAACTTTTATTTTTGTATCATTATTTTCTTTAATTTTATTTAATAATTTTATAGGATTATTTCCTTATATTTTTACAGAACAAGTCATTTAACATTAACCTTACCTTTAGCATTACCTTTATGATTATGTTTTATAATTTATGGATGAATTAATAATACTCAACATATGTTTGCTCATTTAGTCCCACAAGGAACTCCTGCAATTTTAATACCTTTTATAGTTTGTATTGAAACAATTAGTAATGTAATTCGTGCAGGAACTTTAGCAGTTCGATTATGAGGTAATATAATTGCAGGCCACTTATTATTAACATTACAAGGAAATACAGGCCCTTCACTTTCGTATATAATTGTGTCTTTACTTTTAATTGGTCAAATTGCTTTATTAATGCTTGAATCAGCAGTTGCAATTATTCAATCTTATGTATTTGCTGTGTTAAGAACATTATACTCTAGAGTAGTTAATTAATGTCAACACACGCTAACCACCCCTTTCACTTAGTAGATTATAGCCCATGACCTTTAACAGGAGCTATTGGTGCTATAACTTCAGTTTCAGGTTTAGTAAAATGATTCCATCAATATGACATTTCATTATTTGTATTAGGAAATATTATTACTATCTTAACTGTTTATCAATGATGACGAGATGTATCACCTGAAGGTACATTTCAAAGATTACACACTAGGTTCATTCCTTATCTTTTTGGACTAAAATCTGAAAAGTGTCAAAATGCCAGAGCGTAAGCAAAATGCGCTCACTAAAAGAAAATAACAGAAAAAGTAAAGGAACGCAAAAAGCCAAATTTTTAGCCCAAAGAATGGCAACAACAAAGCTAACGTCAAATAAAAATGGAAATGTATGTACAAAATACATTCACACAAGCACAAGCACAATAAACGCTTACTATGTCAATTATTTTTTGCCTCCTTCCAATTTCAATTCACTTCTTTTACTTTTTAGATTATTCTCACTTTTTGCGTATTCTTCAATTTCCGTTAACTTAAATTTAGTTAAGTTTGACACTTTTCAGGATTTTGCCAGAAAAAATTCTTCTGACTAAATCTGACTACTTCGGACTGATGAGAGTCACTCTCACTGGGTGTTGCTCTCTCATTTTTGCTGCCATTTCCGAGTTAAGGAACGCATCTGGACTAAATCTGACTACTTCGGACTTTTTCTGACTATTTCTGGGAGATAAGGAACGCTCCTACTATCTCTGTTACTTTAGGTCTTCGGTGAGGAATAGTTTTATTTGTCTTATCTGAAGTATTATTTTTTGTATCTTTTTTTTGTGCTTTTGTTCATAGAAGATTATCACCTGCTATTGAACTAGGAGCATCATGACCGCCTATAGGAATCAAACCATTTAATCCATTTCAAATTCCTTTACTAAATACACCAATTCTTTTAGCTTCAGGAGCATTGGCGTAGCCAGAATGAAATTTAGGGGAGGGCTCGACCCTATTAAGCTGGCATTTCAAGGTACAATTTTATATATATATAAGGAAAATTTGAAAGTGCCTCTACCTGGCTACGCCCATGTTCAGGAGTAACTGTTACATGAGCACATCACAGTTTAATGGAAAGAAATCATTCACAAGCTACACAAGGGTTGTTTTTTTTACAGTACTATTAGGTATCTACTTTACTATTTTACAAGCGTATGAATATATTGAAGCCCCATTTACAATTGCTGATTCAATTTATGGGTCTACTTTTTTATAGCAACAGGCTTCCACGGAATTCATGTATTAATTAGAACTACCTTTTTATTAGTATGTTTAATTCGACATTTAAATAATCATTTCTCAAAAACTCATCATTTTGGATTTGAAGCAGCTGCATGATACTGGCATTTTGTTGATATTGTTTGATTATTCCTTTATATTTAAATTTATTGATGAGGAGGTTAATTAATTAATTATTTATATAGTATATAAGTATATTTGACTTCCAATCACAAGGTCTACTAATCTAGTAATAAAAATAATTTTTCCAATTGCTATTATAACTTCAATTTTAATTATTATTTCTAGAGTAATAATAATATTAGCATCAATTCTATCAAAAAAAAACATTAACGGATCGAGAAAAATGTTCACCTTTTGAATGTGGATTTGATCCAAAATCTTCATCACGTCTTACTTTTTCTTTACGATTTTTTTTAATTACAATTATTTTTTTAATTTTTGATGTAGAAATTGCTTTAATTTTACCAATAATTTTAATTATTAAAATTTCAAATATTTTTATATGAACAAACACTTCAATTATTTTTATTATTATTTTAATTATTGGATTATATCATGAATGAAATCAAGGAATACTAAATTGATCAAATTAGGGTTGTAGTTAATTATAACATTTGATTTGCATTCAAAAAGTATTGAAATTTCAATCTACCTTAATTAATTGAATATGAAGCGATTTATTGCAATTAGTTTCGACCTAATTTTAGGTAATTTAAATACCCTTATTTTCAATTAATATCTATCTATTAATTGAAGCCAAAAAGAGGCTTATCACTGTTAATGATAGAATTGAGATTTATACTCCAATTAAGGAAGTATGATGTTCAAGAAAAAGCTGCTAACTTTTATCTTTTAATGGTTAAATTCCATTTATACTTCTATTTATATAGTTTAATAAAAACATTACATTTTCATTGTAAAATTAAAATATTTGATTTTTACAAATTACAAAAATTAATTCACTACATTCAAGAATTATATAATTACCCTAACATCTTCAATGTTATATTCTAAATTTAAGCTACTTGAATAAAATAATAAAAAAATCTAAATAAAAAAGTAATTCATAAAACAAATAATAAAAGATAAATTTTAAACTAATATTATGAAAAAAAAAATTTGAATTAGAAAATTCAATTAAGCTATTATATAAATTTTGACCACCTAAAATTCTGATCAACCCTGATTAAATGCTTTATAAACTGCTCTTCCTAAATTTAATGGAAAATTAATAATTCCATAAGTAGAAATATAAGGTATAAATCATATAGAACCAAAAAAATAACTAATTAAATAATTATTAAATGATTTATTTAAATGGAATAAAGAAACATGAGAAATTATATAACCTATAAATCCTCCAATAATACAAACAAATAAAGTTAATAATTCTATATATATAGGTAAACAAATTATATACGGAGTAGGAAAAATTAATCATCTAAGAATTCTCCCCCCAATAATTCGTATAATTAATAAACCTCTTATTCCACGAAGCATAATTAAACCCTCATCTCTTAATATATTTAAAGAACCACAATTAAATTCTCCTGTTATTGAATAATAAATTAATCGAAAAGAATAACAAACTGTAGAAAAAAATATAAAAAGAAAGAAAAAAAATTATATAACTTAACGAATTCTAAGATTATATCCTTAGAATAAAACCCAGCTAAAAAGGCATTCCACATAAAGCTAAATTAGCTACATTAAAACAAGAAGTAGTTAAAGGTATATAAATTCCCAATCCACCTATAAAACGAATATCCTGTGAATTTTGTATATTATGAATAATAGCTCCTGCACATATAAAAAATAATGCCTTAAATAAAGCTTGAGTTAAAAGATGAAAAAAGCTAATTTATAAAACCCTATTGATAAAATTCTTATTATTAATTCTAACTGTCATAATGTAGAAAGAGCAATCATTTTTTTTTAAATCAAATTCAAAATTAGCCCCTAATTCAGCTATAAATATAGTTAAACCAGATAATAATAATACCAATTGACCTAAAAAAGGATTATATAATAAAATATAAAAACGAATAAATAAATAAACACCAGCAGTTACAAGAGTTGAAGAATGAACTAAAGCAGAAACAGGGGTTGGAGCAGCTATAGCGCAGGTAACCAAGAAGAAAAAGGAATTTGAGCTCTTTTTGTTATAGCAGCTAATATTATTAATCTCCCAATTACTTCTATTTCAATTATATTTTTCATTGATTCTAAAAAATAAATATAATTTCAACTGCCATAATTTAATATTCAAGCAATTGCAAGTAAAAAAGCAACATCACCAATACGATTTGATAAAGCAGTTAATATACCAGCATTATAAGATTTAACATTTTGAAAATAAATAACTAAACAATAAGAAATTAATCCTAACCCAACTCAACCTAATAAAATTCTAATTATATTTGGACTATTATATAATAATATTATAGATAAAACAAATATAAGAACTAATATAATAAAACGATTAATATTAATATTACCACT